CGCCGGCCCGCCAGTGGGGGTGGGGGGGTGGGATGGGTGCGCCCCCGCCCCTCCCCGCCTGTCCCGATGTCTCTGTTACCGGCACAGAAACGGGAGAGGGCGAGGGAAGCGGTCCCTTCCGAAAGACCCTCGGGGAAATGACAAACCAAGACTCGGGAGGCGGAGAAAGGCAGAGGATCCGGGACGGAGGAAGAGGAACGAGGCGAAAGGGGAGGGGGGTGTGTGTGTGTGTGCGTGTGTGTAGGGGAGCTGTGTATGGGGGGGGTCCCTTCCCTTGGCAGAAGCCTCCTGGGACGGACGCTGCGCTCTCAGAAAACCCGTCCAAGTCGGTCGGAACGGGGTAGCGGGAGAGCGGTTTCGGCTACAAGGACAGCGACTGGATCCGTCGAAATCCTAACCAGAATATGCGAACAAATGCGGAAGACACCACCACGGCCCACACCCCGGAAGCGTTGGATGATGAAAAACCCCAGGCCCCAAGAAAGGAGACTCCAAGCGGTTGCCCAGCTATGGGACCATGGCATGGGTTTCCCGGGGAAGCAACGTGATGCCTGTTGCAACCAAGAGTTTTACCCTGAATGGAGGCTGGATTCCAAAAAAAGAGGAAAAGGCACTAGAGATCATATCGCAAGTATATGATGGCTACTGGAGGGCACCCTAAAATTTCGGAAGAAGGTCCGCAGGCGTTCAGGCTTCAGAGTCTTTACCTATGTGGGTCGTGAGAAGCTAGGTGTCGTTATGAAAGGAACGGGTAAGCCTCCTGATGCCTAACCTGCATCGTGATCAAGAAAGTACAGTTGGGACAGAATACAGAGAGACAGAATAGTTTCCTAAAGGTAAAGGTGTCAGACAAGGGTGCACTTTATCCCTTTATCTGTTCAGTCTGTATGCAGAACATATCATGCAGAAAGCTGGACTAGATTCAGATGAAGGAGGAATGAAAATTGGTGGAAGAGATAATTTAAGATATGCAGATAACACCATCTTAATGGCAGAAAGCAGCAGTGCCTTGAAACTTCTGATGGAAATGAAAGTGCCAAAACAGGCCTGCAGTTGAACATGAAGAAGAGGAAAACCATGACTACAGAAGAACTGCACAACTTTAGTGTTGACAATTTATTGTTTTATTTCTAAGTTTGTATCCTGCTCCCATTAGTGTTGCAGAACAACTCTGGGTGGGTAATGAATTTATTTATTTATTTATGTATTTATTTATTTATTTATTTATGTATTTATTTATTTATTTATTTATTCGATTTATAT